CTCTGGGGGGGGTGGGGGGGGACTTTTGTTTGTGCTATTACTGCCAGCCACCGTAAATTGACGTCTTCACACATTTTCTGTGTCCCTGCCATCCCACCCCTCACCCCCTGGCATATAGTGAACTATCCATTAACTTTGGATGCAGGGCAAGACGGGGTAGATAGTGATGCCAGAGATTTTTAACACAGCTCAATGGACTGACTAAGCTTGTGATTTTCTGCCCAGAGGGTGGGTTAATCTTTGGAAAGCGTCAAAGGCTTCTGATAACAGTAATCTCACACACTTGCTCAGAATTCTTTGTTTGCCAAGCCCACATGGAAGAAGCACACCAGCCTGTGTAATCATGAGGTGTCGACAGGCTTAGGTAGCAGAAGTTCAAAAACAAGCAATCAAATTGACGTCAAGGGGCGTGGACAAAGTGGAGACCCAGAACTCACCTGTAAGATTATTGGACAGTCTCCCACAGAAGGGCCACATGGAAGAGCTAATATATCCAGTATAGCACTGGTGAAACATAACTATCCTCGTTCTTTAAAATTTCCTTCCCTTACTATTACGGTTTTTGGTTTACCTCATTAATCTTTTTAGACCTGCATATGTTCATTTGTATAATTAAGTTTGATGCATGAATGCCAAGATAGATCACCCTTCAGAAACAGTAATGGGTTGTGTTAGTCTGGGTTGACTAGAGAAACAAATTCAGAGATACTTATGTGCAAGAGAGGGTTTTATATCCAAGAGTAATTGTATATTAAGAAAATATCCCAGTCCAGTCCAGATCAAGCCCTTAAGTCCGATATTAGCCCATATTTCCGGTACTAGTCCATAAATTCTTCTACAGACTCACTAGCACATGCAGTGATGCTGAGAGCAGGAAGATCACAGGCTAGTGGGTAAAAAGTCTTGTGGAAGCATCTCCGTGCTGTCATGGCTCTCCATCTGGCTCCTCCAGCCTCCAGGGCTCTGGCTGCCATCAGCATAGCTTCATGTGGATTGTCAACAGCATATGAAGCAGATAGAGTGTGTGTCCCGCCTCCAGGGAGGAAGACCGGAGTTCCCAGAATCCTCAGGAGAAGGCCAGGCCCACACAGAGGCACCATTGGCTATGACCTGATTGACAGGCTAGACTCCACCCCTCCACTCAAG